TATTAAAGCTGGAATGAACCCTACAAATGGAAGATTTCATTGCTGAGTGAAACTGTTCATTTAAGAGCCCTTATTTATCAAAATCAAGATCTCAATACCCACTAATACCATTTACATTTTATCACGAAAAAAAAAACTAAAGGATAGTAGCAGTTTAGAGTTATTAATATGTCAATTCGCTGATATATGAGGCTCTACTTATCTGTAACCCGACCGTTGTTGCTACCTTGACGTGGTGGTCGGGCTTACTTACCATGATGTAGCAACCGAGCTCTACTGGCTGGAACAATCATTCCTCAAGGTCCTACCATGTCAGACAGGTCGGTTAAAGAGCGGTAAGACTAAAAGCAACAAAACCAAGGTCCGAAGGCGAAGTCGTACTGCTGACTGTACAGAGGTGTGACAGCAGTAAGGTGTTTCCTTCAGACAACCAGCATGACAGCGATGCTGCCTTCCCACAAGGAGGGGTGGGGTTAGAAAAGGTCGACCCTAAAAATGCACACCTCGCCTTATCCTACGGATATCCGTCTCCGGTGGTAAGGTCTCAACAAGTGCGGGGCTAACACAAAAATTATTCATAAAAAGGTCATGTGTGACCGACCTTAAGCAGTTGTCCCTTGGGCACTGCGGTCACGCTCTCAGGTTACTAAGACCACCGCTAATTCAATTTCCTTTTCAGGTACCTCCAGAAGAACCCTTCCACGGTGTGAGCAACCGGGAAGTGATAACCGCCCTCATACCTCTAACAGTACTCAAGACTGACTGACTTATCTGTAAATTGCTTTACTTTCCATATAATTATTTTCTTGATATTTTTGTGTTAACTTACTTAAGAAGATAAATCAAACGACTAATAAACTATTACTTTCAATTGTATAATGATGACAGAACTAAATATAGTTTTCTTTAAAAATGAATCAAAAACTTATTTCAATAATTGAAATTCCACTAATTAATTTTTTTGTTCATCTAAAAGATACAAATTAAAATTTGTTTAAATTCACGTCATTTTATAAAAATCAAATTAAGCAAAAATAAATCCAAAGATAAATGATTTAAAAATATAGCTACTTTAAAAAAAAGTAAAGATGAATACGCACGAAGAAATCAGTACTTTGTAGTGAATAATAAAAAGAAATAAATCAGAATGTATTATCCTTTTCAAGTAGTAGATGTTAACAACTGAATCGTTTTTAACACTATACTCAACATCAACAGAGATGCTATCAAAATGAGGTGAGCTTTTGAAAGTTGCTTTCAATGTGTTAGATCAATCTGTCCTGATGTTTATCTTTGAAATTTTTATGTCACTATGTACTACTTCTGACCGTCTTATTCATTCACTTTGATTAACCTTATGTAAACTAACAGATTATACCTATGTCAATATATTTATTGACTGTAAATTGATTGAGATACCATAGTAATAGTTCTTCAGGACTTTAAAAATCTCTTGATCTAGAATTTCGATACTTTGTTTTAGGTGAAAATATTCCCATCTATGTCTGTGCATTGTTAAGTGACGTCAATATATACATTATACGCATATATTTTGCTGTCGTTTAGAAGAAAGACAGATTCACCTAAAAATGTATCATTACTGTACAACATACCATGACAACATTTGGCAATAATGAATAATCAAGCTACACTAATACAACTATAAAAAATCTAAAACTGAAAATAAAAGATTTGTCGCAGGGTCAAAAAAAGTACAAATGAAGCAAAAACTAACTGTTAACTGCGTTATTTATGACTAATAGTTTTGGTATAAGTAATCATTTTTAATATTGTCATTCAACCAACCGAAACAAATATCTAACATAATAAAACCACCATACTGTGATAGTCGATCAAATTTGCATAAAAAACATATTCACTACACTATTAATGGACATTTCTGAAGTAATAATTAAGAATGTATATTCATCATAGAGTGGTATCTAACAAATTTCGTCTATTAGATAACATGTTAAAAAAATAGTTACATCTACCCACATTTGCACACTAAAATTCAAATAAAAGGATGTAGTCCGAATTCGAGTACATAACATTGTACTTAGTAAACAACCTGCTTCAATAGACAAATGGGTACCTATTCATAATAAACAACGATGTTTAAGTGTTACTTGATCTAACCTAAAAAATCATTTTTGTAATATAATCTACAAAAATCCATGTTCAGACGATACTTCTTCTGTCAAATTATTCCAGCGATGTCATTTCAATCAACTGAATTGAATCTAAACACATCACGTAATTATTCAGCATTCTACAGATAGGTACAAACAATTTATTCATTAAGAGAAATATTTAAAAATGACAATCAATCAAGTGGAAACAGTTAATACAATCTGACAATGGAGAAATAGTATGACATTTGAAAAAAATTCACTGGTATAATAATTCGTTTTTACAAAGAAAATAGGGAGTAGTTTTCATAAAGGCAAGAAATACCGAAAAGTTTATTCTTGTGTTGACATTTTATATATATATATTCTTCTTGTTATGAAAAAATTAGTTATTTTGAAGAAACTTATTTCGAGGGACAGAAGAATTAAAATAGCTAAGTATCACTGTAATTGTTAAATATTACCTTAAACTATGAAATGAACAGCAACCGTACAACAGAAAATACATTTCGAGAATAAAATGATAACCTAATTTTCACAAAAATGTAGCTACAGTACGTTTTCTTCAAAAATCATTATGACAACCTGATTGAAAAGATAATTATAGTGCAAGTAAGCTACTTCCATCTTTTAACAGTTTACTAAAAATACTTAAAAACGACTTGAAGCATATTTATCGGATAATATGGATAACAAGTAACAAACAGTTATGTTATGTAGTCTATTGGTTCTCATATTCTTTGTTGTGAAATGTCTATAATGCCAGTACAAAGATACAAGTTCGAATCGTTAACACTTGTAGATTATCAGAATATATATATATTATTCAGAGCAATTTAAAATCTTGTCATATCACACCGTTCATATTGACTCAGTTGGGTATTTCATTTAGTTATAATAATAAACATGCTGAACAGCTGATTAGAAAATAACAGTTTTCGTTGTTTGATAAAATACATGCTGAGTTAAGTGCAAAGATGCGTATTAACTTTATATGAAAAAAAGAATACATTCGTAGAAGTTGACAAAACATTTTTATGGAGAAAAAGAATATAAGAAACGAACTTTTTTCTGCTGACTTATGATAAATCAATGAATTCAAAAAAAAGCTAGAATTGATGGCAAGTCATTTCATCCTACTGTTAAAATTTTTAACAGTTTACATTGATTTTCTTAAAATTAAGGTATATATATCCATATATACGTGTTTCATGTGTGATTGAACTGATTTCAAACGATTGCAATCATTAAAATCTAGTTATCGGAATTTAATTCTTTCTGTTATTGGTGTTAAGGATTGTAAGTAATCAGTCACTTTTGGTGTATGTATATCGTGAGAGTTTTCTAGATATTGTAGTCAGTTACGAGAAATTTTTTAAGTGTGAATATCAACACTGCGATGTAGATAAATCCAGCTGGTGAGTCTCAGACAAAACGAAACGCACATACCCGATTCCAGTGCTACCCAATATTGAGCTTTCCTTCAAGATTACTGCCATTTTCTAATGAATGGTTTTGTATTAATTTGCACTGATCAAGAACATACAGTAGTCATTTCTGGAGATTCACGATACAATAGAATTATTTTAATCCACTGAAAACGATCTTTTGTTCATTAACATAAAATAATGAATTTGTATGGATGAAACAAAGGACCATACTCTTATATAATTGTTCCTAAAATGATATCCCAACCCTTCATAACATATAAACAGGTTTGTTTACTGTTCATTCATAAGAAGTGTTGAGACTGTGCATCTGAAACTTGGATTAGTCATTGCTGACGTTTCTGCAATAGAAAATAGACATCAATCTGAGTTGGGTACTATGAATAACACCAAGTGATAAGTTGGACACTAACGTTATTAATCAAGTTCACGTTAGATGTTTGATAGTTCAATGTACTTTTCGACTAAGCTATACAGAGAAAATTTCTAATGCATCAATAAATATTTCTTCATGTACCTTGTTCTATAACGCTAGACGTTTCAGTTAGTACTGGCAATCTATATTTTAAGGTGATAGATTATATGGATTTGACCTCAGTATTGACGATATCGCCATTTATAATCTTTTACTAAACACTTTATTTCAATACCACTTCATTTTTCTACTTAATTTCTTTCTTTAAAACGAAATTCCAACTCTTTTGGTAATCGATTTATGGTGCAGGTATGGCGTAGTAACTTGAATTTGCGTTTGTGTAAGACTTCGTCAGGTTTATGGTTGATTAAATGTATGTTTAATAAATTCTAGTCAATTATTTTTGCATCATACGTTTATAATCAATTGATTGGAAGACGCGTCGAAGAGTGGTAAATGACATCAGTTAGTATTATTATGTCTAATCACAATCAAGTTGAAAGTAAAACGTGTACCAATAAAATTTGATGCAGTTTTATTGATACTTTGATCAAGAGCCTATGCTTCACTAAGGATGATAGCCTTAAGAGCTCCATACAATGTATGTTTATTTCACTAAATAAATTTAAAATCAATTCGACCATAAATATACATCACTGTAAGTTTGATAATCAGAAAAACTGATTGATAAATTTAAAATGAAAATTTGACAGGAAATATATCTGATGTTGCACACACACAAAAAAATAAATAAAATTAATCAATCAATGATAATATTGTTTTTCACAATTAATCAATTTAACAATGCACTTATTTTTTCACTATAACTACTATTACTGCCACAAACATTGCAAATAACACTATACTACTACTACTACTATGACTACTACAGCTATTTATTTCAATTTAGTCAGTCAAAAAAAAGAAGAATGACAAAATAAATTTATCAAAATAATATATTTCTTTTTAAAATTTATTCTAATTTAAAATATCAAATTGTTTTTATTAAATGGGATAATGTAAGATTTTCTGGAGTATCAAAGGAGATATGACAAATTCATTATCATATAATGATGAACTCATCCATAATCTTAAATTATTATCATTCTTGTCTAAATCCAACCGATCAATAATTCGTTGAAAATTAGATGACTTATAATTGTTCTGGAAAAAAAAACAGTAAAGATTTCATAGGAAAATCAAAAAAAAAAAAAAACTTTCAATAAAACAACATGAAAGAAGTAGAAAAATAACATTGAAAAATGAAACAGTGAAATTTAAATGAAAAAAAATAAAATGTTCACCAAGTAGAAGACAACACATTCAAATATACAAACATAAAAAAGTGAATTTGATTTAAAATGATAAAACAATTTTTTTACTTATTTTGTGCATGTTAATATATTACTGTATCAATGTATAGAGATATTGTAAATCTGTATTACATTTTTACTCTTTTAAAAGTTGTCAATGTACAATTGTTTTTTGTTGCCAATAAAGATGAATGTCAAATTTTTAGGTGAATTTAATTTTGAACAAATATAAAAAAGAATGAATAATAAATGGAAAGGATTGCCAAGGAAAGAGTTGAATAAAGAATTCTGGTGGTTGACATATATTCCTACATGAGGGGTAATAGGCGTAAGTAAGTAAATTCAACTTACTGATTATTTAAATAAAGCCAGAACAAAGATTGATGCAGAATAATATGAATTCATTATATTTCATGGTTTCTCGTCAGCTGCTTACAACCAAATATGTATTGGAATTTTACATTGAGATAAGAAATAATATGGAAACAATTGACATAAATGACCGACGACAGAATGGGAAACGAACTGCTTACTCAAATAAACTAAATTCGACAAGTCATTTTTTCTCGGTGGCTCCAACTACATTTACCGATTTACATGTACGTGCCAAAGCACATACATCGGAAGAACCGAGAGAAGAGTACATGTTCGCATTTGTGAGCATGTTCTAAAGAAATTGAGGCTGCGAGGGACTAGGGCTCTCAACAGTGCATGCTTTTAAAGTTACTAGCAGACAAAAAAGTACGGCTTCTCTCCGATTTGCCGAAGCGATCGCAATAAAAACACTCAAACCGGACCTGTGTATTCAAAAAGAGACAGTAATAAACTTATTACTACCTTGGTAATTCATTTTTTATTCTTTTAATTTTATTTTTTTGGTTATTAATTTTAATTATTTATTAATTTTTGGTCATTTGTTTTATTTTGTTAATGTTCAGTTTGTGTTATATTCCTCTTAACTACCCTTTCATTCACACATTCCCGCTCACTTGATCCCCTTAAATTATGTGAACTCCCCAAATTTCTATTCAATTATTACGTAACCCATCTCACAAGTTTTTTAATTCCGTTAATCCGTCATTACCTCTAAAATTATCGTACAACTTATCTTATCTGTCTCTGAATTCCAATCAATTATTACACCACCCATTCTTAATTCTAACACCAGATAACACCTGACCTGTTCTTGCATATATATAGTTTGATAACCTTTGTCATTCCAATCCTTTACATTCATTTATGTCAATTGTTCGCATATTATTTCTTATCTCAATGTAAAATTCCAATACATATTTGGTTGTAAGCAGCTGACGAGAAACCATGAAATATAATGAATTCATATTATTCTGCATCAATCTTTGTTCTGGCTTTATTTAAATTCATAAAGGGAACCAATCGCATGAAATTACTGATTATTTATATCTTACAGACAACAATTGGCGATAATTGATCATTTAACATAGAAATATGTTAGTGCATTTGAATGAAATGCTTTCATATGGACTAGTATATCATTACATAATTGTGTACATATATTGTGTAAACACATCAATAATTTTAGTTAAAGAAATGTATTGATTATAAAAAATGATCAAAATAAATTTTGATTAAATTGATAGATTTTCTATTGTCTATGGAATAATTTCATACAATCAGTTATATTAACTATATTGTTCAGTTTCATACAATGAAGAAACAATTGTTCAGTACTTCTGAATTTTCAATAATTCTCTAATTAATTACACTAAAAATTCTAATAACAAAATCTACAATCATTCAGATAAATCAATGTTCATCAAACAAAACAAACTTAGACAAACAATTACATTTTATCAATTAAAAGTTTAACATAATTTATCAATGTTTACAGAATGACAAATGATTTCATGATTTTTAAAATAAAGCAACATAATCACAATTATACTGAATTAGTTGTAGCAAATGATCATTTATATGTAGAGATATACATTCACGAAGACATATTGATTGTTTCAATGGAGTAGTGTTATTCACTAACTTCTGGTCTGAGACATGTTGGTAGATGCAGACTACTTAGTTAGGGTTCGTGTGACTGTCGTAACCAATTGTTGAAGACTCTTGGTGCCATGGCTCAGAATCGATCACAATGGCTTAGATGTATACACACTCTGTCTTCCCTTAAACTAGAGATTAAAATCGCTTTATATCTTTCTTTCTACGTATTAAATCTTTCTTTCTGTACTAAATCTTTATATGCAATCTTTCTTTTATATATTACCACCATTGACTTAACTACTCCTACGTTTCCGGTGTTCATATTGCTGTGCTAATGCTATGTGACAATTATCTTTTTATTAATCAAGTCTTTTAAAAATTAGGAATATGGATCTAGCAATACTCATGTGAAAATCTATAATGATACTCATTACAAAGATAAAAAGGAATGACTACCGACTACACAGAACGAATAAAATTAGAAGATGCCAACTATACAAATTACAATTAATAACTCAATGGTTGAAATAAAATTCCTAAAGTTGTTTTGATTCACTTTAACAAAAAAGGTCAACTAACTAATCAGAATGTTATTTTCATCTTTGTTCCATACGTAAATTAACTTCAACCTTTAACGAAAAACATTCAACTTAAATCTAGTCAAGTGAGCAAAGCTAATAAATTCAAACAAAAATATAATATTCATGATAAATAGCTTTGTGACAAAGCAAACGAAACTTATCCTGACTATGAATTATGGTTGAGACAAATACAAAAAATTTATATACACATGAAATCCCCTCGAAATGGTACATAATTATAGGGAACAGCTCAGCAGTGAGCATCAACCCCTCAATGGTGGTCTAACATTGATCAGTTCATGATGTCAATTACAACTCAACAAACTCTACAACCGTATACACATAATTATACATGATTCAGAGGGAATAGCTTAAATTTTATATTTTTGTCAAAAATTGAAAAATCGCTTTATTTTAGCGTTAATTAATATTCTCATCAATTACTGACGTTTATATAATAATAATGTTAATAATAATAATAATAATAATAATAATTACTAGAAAAGTTACAGGTAAAATCCTACAAGGATTATCTAATAAACATTAATTACATTGAATAAATACTCAAATATAACTGGTTTGTGGAAATAAAACTTAATGAGAGGAAGTTAAATGATAAAAATATCTTTCCCTAATTTGAATTAGTAATGATAGTACAGAATATTTTTTTATTCTGTTATTTGCAGATTGATAATAATCAGTTTATATTAATTTATAGAAATCTTGTTTCCATGTTTTCAATGGTGGTCTAACATCAATCGGTCCATGATCCCAATCAAAAACTTTGTAATCTCCACAACCTCATACTGAAAATAAGAATGTTTTAATTAAGTGAAATCAGACAATGGCTAATAGTGGAATCCAGGTTACACTTTTTGTCCTATTTAGATCTTGTCAGTGGGGTGTAATTGCATCCGTGTTGATATTCACACTGAGACTCGAATCCGGTACCTTCCCCTTAAAAAATTGAATATATTTCTAACTAAGGATATTTAGATAAGACAAGAATAAAATAAGGTGAACAATCTTGTTTAATAGTGATAGGTGAGCTAGTGATACTACTGTTCGATTGTTTGAACAAAAATATATCAAATGGAGTTTGGGATGTTAATCTCATGGTTAGAATTCGAGTCGCTTAATCACAAAGTTATCCTTAGAAAATTCTTAATAACATAGCTACTGAATAATACTTTTAGTCATAATAAAATACCAAGATAGGTGACCATACACTACATAATTCAACACATAACTTACATCTTTATCAGCAAGCACTAACTCATTTTCATCAGTAGTAAATGATTCCAAATGGTAAGCTGGTATTTCATATAAGTCAATAGGGATCCCATTAGTTTCTTTTGAACGGTCAATTAAATTTTGACTATTTGTAATTGACAGATTAGAAAGTTGAAGATAATGAAACCAAGCAAGAATAAGATTTCCTCGAAGTATATCAGGGACCCATAACACATCGTCAGGCCACATATGATCCCATGGTAAAGATGATGTATTTATTGTATTATCTTTATTCATTATAAGTGGAAACCAAGCTGGATGCATTTCTTCTGTATAACAAGGCCATTTAACCGTATGATTATTAAGTGTAGGTGTCCATGTTCGGCAGATAAACACATGAACTTCCATACACTAGAAAATAATTCATTTAAAAATTGTTAAATTATGAATAAATTCATAAAAGAAATCATTTGATATCTCGTGAGTAGACTTCTTAAAATTACTTTATTCTGTGTAGCATTGTAAAATATCAAGGATGGTATATCATTCGTTATGATAACAATAAACTCAAAGGTGATATATTTAAAACACAAACAGACAGTAAATAGTTCAGATTAAATACCATGATCAAATACAATGCAAGTTAGACTAATTCTAATAAATAAACATTGAAAACTTTTATTACAAAAACAAACAAACAGTAAGACTACCAATTTATTTATGATTAGGAATAGTATTAAACTGTCTTATGATATAAGAATGTTTTAGAAACAAAGATCGTGAATTAATAATTAATTCAATAATCTTAAAATTCATGTGGTGAAGTACATCAACAGTATTCTGATTCATGAATGATTGTTGACAAATAATGAACTTAGAAGGGGTTTCGTGGAGATTCTTAGTAATTTCAATAGTTGAAATCATCAGTCGATTGAAGCTAGATCACCATGGAAAACCTGAAAGCACTGGACAACCGTTTTGTCCTAGTATGGGATTCCTCAGCAGTGCGCATCCACCATCGGATGCCGGCTCAATGGTCTAGTGGTTAAGCGGTCGCGCGCGAGACTGATAGGTCCTATGTTCGAACCTTGAAGGGGAGGAATCGTGGATGCGTAATGCTGAGGAGTCAAATACTAGGACGAAACGGCCGTTCAGTGCTTCCAGGATTTCCATGGTGATCTAGCTTCAATCGACTCATGATTTCAAACATTGCAATAATGAACTAACACCAAATTAATAAGCGATTGATAATTTTTAGGTATTTATTTCCTAACAATTTAATACTATTTTAGATGAATGTATGACAACTTATTTCATATCGAAGTAAAGTACACTTAATATATAAGAACATTTAGGAAGAAATTGTGTGGACCACCAAAAACTAATAAGTTACTAGTGCTAACTAATGTTTTTTTTAATATGTGCATTTGTTTGATTTATCTGTAAACAGAGTACCTATCAGGTTAATATTTGTCAGTAATGTATTCGAATTTTGAACTCATACAATCGTTTCACTAATATAAATGCTATAGAATAAACTTCTACAGCAAATGGTATAATGACAACTGGCTCTACCGAAAGTGAAATTAGTGAGTGTGAGACAATCTAAAGAAACATATAAATAAACTAACCTAAAAATCAAACTACCCACCCTTGGGACTACTACGACTGAAACTCTAGAAAAATCCAACTGGGAGCAACCGGACAATTGGAACAAGGGAACATCATGAAGCCAACTAGTTTGTACTAGCTCATCACAATAGCATTGAATAGTAGAAAAGAACAACCACCTATTTATTTTTCTAATATTGTCACAACCAAGTGACTAATTTACGTTTTTTTAATTTCAAGATGTTTATCCAATAGATCCTACCTTTGGTGAGCCGTCAAATCTTAAGTTGTATGGAGGATTCGACACAGTTCTGCTGACAATCAACACTTTCAGCTTTTTGTACTCTAAAACAAAGTAAAATTCCTTAACCCAATAATGAAACATCTATGATCAGTTATCAAAACTCAGAAGATCAATAAATAACCATTAGTGTATTAAGTATTACTACGGTCGTCGGAGAATATAACAAGCCATTAGTCGAAATTTGATCTGATGAAAATAAGCACTACTAGATAATTTTCAATCACCATTCAACTTTCCATATACCAAGTCATCTAACATGAATTGCAGCAACCATTAATGATGTACATATAGTAATATGAAGTTTAAGTTATTGGTGTTCTACAAATTTCTAATGAGATTAAGTCATAAATACAATCAAAAAATTTCATTCATTAATAAATTTGTGAAAAATGTTCACCAAAAAAACAGAACATTCATTAATCTGAATTTTGAATTCCTATCACTGATTGATCTTAGTTACACAATGATCGTAAAACTCTAGAAAGCACTAGAATAGTTGTTTAACTAAGATCAATCAGATTTGAAAAAATATGAAATTCAACAATCTCCACAAATCTCCTGATTACAGTATGAATGTCACTTTAATGACATAATTATGAAGACAAAACAACATAGGATATAAGGAAATCCTGTAATTTCTTTCAAGTTTGTATTTAGCTTAGATTTCTTTTTTTATTTTATTGGGTTCCTTTCCAATTAACAAATATTTCGATATCGATAGGAAAATTTTATGTAAGATCAATTTATAATTGCAGTTTTACACTTTAATGATAACCGCTGTCTTTCTTGTTCGGTTACATATGAACACAGTATTTTTAACCTGTGTACAACAGTACAGATGAATTGAATTATGTTAAAAGGTTTATGTTTCACGAATTTTACACATTTTAATGACAAGTAATAAGTGGTCAGAAGCATATATAATATGACTTCAAAACACATTCGAAATATTTTTTTAAAATGCTGTAGTCAAACATTTTGACGGTTAATTATCTCATCATTAAAATTTTTTCTTCAATTTAACCAGACACTTACGTATGTTAACTAATCTATACAAGTATATGTGACATATCTATAGTGTGAGGATTTATCGGTTAGATTAGTTAAATTTTAACACCTAGATGATCAAGCTCCATCCTTTTGTGTCAGCTTAAACAGCCAGGTAGTAGTATCACTAACTTCCATATAAAACAAAATCAGCCTTAAACTTAAGTATATTAATCTGTACTTGGTAGATAGATTACATTTTAAAAATATCCAATACAACTGTAGATATACAAATAGATAGAAGGAAATTTTCTTTGAATTATAACTAGATTTAAATTTCACTTGAATGTTCTTTTAAGAGATGTATATCTGTCTTTATGGCTTATTTTATCGTTATAAGTAAAAATAGAAAGACTGAGATAAAAATAAAACTATCAGTGTGATATCGCTAGATTATTGGTCGAATGTCTCGGAGAGTACACTACAAAACACAGCATCTGTCAGTTAGTCTAATTTTATTGTTGTGTGTTGCGGTCCAGCTGTCATACGAAGAAGAAATGGACATTAGTTAAAAATTTATTAATTTAGATGGTTGAGTTCCCATGCAAAATAGTGGAGGAGAATGACTTATTATTGTTATCTAATATAAACTTTAGAAGTATGATTCATTTATAAAGTGATAATTAAGTTTTAGAAAATCTTTGATTCAGAAGCTAGGTGGAATTTCATTTTCTTTCTGTTGTGATCTATGATTTCTTTCAACTTTTACTAACATTCACAATATATATATATATATATATATATATATATATATATATATATATATATATATATATATATATATATATATATATATATATATATAAGCTAGTTTGTAATTAATGCTGGCTTCGCTTTTAAGCTTGTGTTCATGACGGTGGTTAAAAAAGCAATGCTACGTTTGACGAAATCACGATATCATCTAAAACCAGTGGACAAAACGAAAGTCAGTAAAACAACAACAGGACGAGCTAAGCCATTCCATTGAGCCCTAGATCTTATAACTAGAGGGAGAAAATCAGATTCAGTCGAGGGAAATGTATATTCCACAAGCAGTTAGAAGCATGAACGAACAAGCGCTCAACTCATACATACATACACAGTACAAAAGTGTTCTTGGTAAACTTCACAAAATAGGGTCCTAAAAAGGCGAAACAACCAATGACATTTAAGGTCCTTCCGAGTGGGAAATACAAACTGAAGGTGAATGTGGGCATTTGGGCTTTTGGCAGGAAAATGAGAAGTTCGAATTTCCAAAATGAAATTACGAGAGTGATACGTTTACGAAGTGATTTCTACGGATCTACGGATCAAACATAGAAAGCTCTACGGATAAACTATCCACCCTAAAGAAGGCAATTCACGCATGTGGAATGCGAATAACGATTGATTTCAACAGAGGATTACAAATTCTAAGTTAAAATAATGGATTAATAATCAAACAATTTCTCAGTTGAACACCAAACAGTAGCGATTAGCATCCCCAACGCTTTAGTAGATGTAACCAAATATATTTTATGTCAAATACCTGATATTTTTTCATGATAGAAAATGAAAGCGCTTTATCATCAAGAAACAAATAAATGCATTGAACAGAAAGTTTATGTGCACACAAATTCCTTTGAAACTACTGATGATAATTATTTTAATAAATGTATTTTGAAAATAAACAAAGATCATGACAACAATAACAATGTCTTCAAACTATTACACATATTAATGCAGTGTATGTTAGAGGAGATTAAAACAATAAAGTAGAATATCGTTAAAGCTATTGTGCAAACAAATACAGATATCTATCTATCTTATGATATTTTAACCTCAATTCAGGATTTCCATTTACTTTAGAACTAGAAGAACAATATATAAATGCCGATCGACTAGAAGGGGAAATTATACGTGGACACAGTGTGCAGACACAAAAATATACTATTTAAAAAAAGGTATTTATATAAATACTTATATATTCATAACATCCTAAATGGGTATTTGATCCTATTAATCTAAACATAGTTGAATGTAATCTCACTTCAGTGTTGGTCTCCACAGAGAGGTTCAAAACCTATATATACTACGATTGATTTTATTTTTCAAGAAATTTATTACGTAAATAAATATAACAGTGAGCATGAAGGATAAGGTTTGCAAATACCTAGTAGTTTTTCACTGCATAAAGAAAAAAGAAAACATATAGTTATCATTCCAATTTAGTTGTGCGTCATTAGCGTCAAGAAAACACTTCATTCAGGATTACTAGTTATGAACACTGATGGGACCATTATATGGAAAAACATAGATCTATGACCTCAGTAAAACCGCGATACTAATTGTTTATTTAAAAAAAGTGGCATTATCGTTTAAGGACAGATTTAGTGGTCATTCAATAAACACGATAACTTAAATATTCTATCACACTGCGTAGAACAAGATTTGCAAAAAATCAATTAATTTTATCCTAATAATTTATTATTTAAATACAAAACAATTTTAATCATGGATTAACATAATCCAGATAACCATTAAACAACCCTAACCGATTGGACAAGTGTTTTGTCTTAGTTGGAAATCGCAGTCAAATTATACTACACTGACAAATCAATCAGATCTCAGACAGATTTCAGGATTATTGTGTATGTTAGAAACAAGAATGATAAATTTATATAGCCGTACTAATAATCTTACTGATGATATGATAATTCAACATTTACAAGATGTCAGAATGATTAGCAAGATTACTAAATGTGATTTCAGACATGGAATTTTATGGTAGAAAAGGCTCAAAATCAGAAGGAATGTCAAAATAGAAGCAGTAAGTAGTATCATTTTTAATCAAACTGGTAGATTTTCAGTATAATATGCGCTGGGAAAAATATTGTTTAATTACAAAATATCTGCAACCCAAGGACTACTCTTTGTACAGATAATTGGAAAGTAGATATAGGACCTCTAAAGTACAAATCATAATATTCGGGACGTCAGTTCATCAATTTAAACCCACTCTTGAACTTTGAAATTTTCTTTTATATACTCGATTAAGTGATGACTTGCTCGATTAGCAAACAGACATCTAGAAAATGAAGACAAGATTATTTGTAAAAATTCACCAGACAATTATGCGAAAAATGTGAAGTTTTTGTAATTTGATTCAGTTTTAATCTATACAATAATTGTATTGAAAGTGAATAAATGACCTAGATTGTGTACAACTATTATCCCTCTCATACAAACCCTCCTATAAATATGAACACAATAAGAACTTTCATTACTTTATAACAAAAGTCTAGTCAAAGTGACTTCAAAATGTTAGATGAATATATATATATATATATATATATATAACATTTTCTTCCATTAATCACAAAATGTAAGAAAACAAAACCGAACAACACACATATACGCAATAAACGAAACCATACCCCTCTAAAGATTATCTGATAATCCCATTTACCAGAGAAAAGTAAGTTCGTCTGGCAACAATTCAATTATTCCTTTTTTCTACACAACTAAACTCCTTTCAATAAACTAATAGAACAGTGAATACTGATCACTTAGTCATCTCTTAAAATCTTATTTAGTTTTAGTTTTCAAGGGTGGAGAGGGGATAATTATTTAACTATGTGAATCATCTTAACAATTACTGTAATCTAGATGTACTAAATTATAGAGAAACATGTGATGTATGCAAAATTCATTGAAACCTTAAGAAATTAATTACAATCATTACGAAAATGTGTTTTTTTAGATAAAATAAAATTCACATAAAATAGAATTTGATTAATGTTATCCAGAATGTTTTTAATTTCAAATAAATATGTTGTATATAGCACTTTGGGTCACTTTTCTGTTCAGTTATTAGTTTTATTTGTTTTAACACATAGATATTGGTACAAGGAGACACCAAATACATATACACCACACAGATCTCATTTGATTTGTGTGAGGGCTGTGATACTTCCCGGGTGCCCAAACCGAAGCAGGTGGTTTTCTTAGGGAGCCACACCCCGAGCCTTCGACCTGAAAGTCTGACCCACAAGGCAGTGGAGCATCGTAAGGAGATGCAGTCCCATGGTAGCCGGTGACCAACGATTAGTTCATACCCCATTTGTTCCTTCAGGATACTGGAACCCATGTGCACCATCGGTTTGGAATCAGGGTTTTCTAACTCCCTTAGGTGGACTTTCCATGCCCACCAACCCGGTCAAAGGGCCGGACATTCGCTTTTCATCCTCTCATTTTCGTAAACAACACCCCCGCCACGAGAAGGCAGTGAGTAGGACTTCCCTGGCAGATGCTATATACGCGTGGCCATGTGAGAGCATTTCAAGAGGGAGAGCGGACTCTCCACTCTCGGCCGTACCAAGGCGTTTGGGGGCTTCTGTTCAGTTAGTTGGTGAATGGTGCATTTTCAAGTTGAATTTCACAGCTTCTGTAGTTAAACACAACTATCTGTTGAAGATTTGTTCGGCATAGTACAGTTCAACATACCGGAAGAAAAACACAAAAATTGTAAAAATAAGAGCTTCAAATGAAATCTCTAGTGAAAACTACACTGATATAATTAGTACTGAATCAATAAATAGATGAGAAAATGGACTAAAGTGCTAAATGCACTACACTTATTGGACAGTGAAAACTTTGCCGTAATTTTGGCAGTCACTATGCAACACTAGAAATACTTAATCCACCTATATTTAATTGACTGTATTATAAAGAGAACATACATTATATACGGATATAATTTAATTCACACGAATTGTGTTATCAAGTTGTAAAAATTTGAAGGTCGGTGGTGTCTTTAAACATTAAAACTAGGAAAAATCATAAAGGCTTTTGATTATCGAACACAACTTTATACTCATGATTAAGCGGGTTGCTAACTCTTCTACGGAAAATGCATCACAACTGAATAGACAAACATCATTATCCATTCTATTTAGTTGCGTCTATTTATCAATACGATTGTGAAAATATTTCTATATATACCTGGAGCAGATTATGTTACATCTCTGAATGATATACAATTAACAGTTTTATTTCTTTAGTACAAAAATTAATCAAAGAAAGAATTATACGAATTAATCATTTGTGGAAATCTAAAAAGAAATTTTTTTTTAAAAAAGAAGGTCGAAAGTATCCCTTTACCAATTTACATACACATAAGTTCATTAGTACTGGTCTAGTCATATACATTGATAAATGTTTACATTAATAATCTCAACAAGCTAAGGGATTTGAAATTATGATAAACTATAATATCTGATGTCAAATATATGGGAAAAACCACCGAGAAAAAATGAACTACACTTAAATAGAACCCTGGTGGTTTAGAGATTGACCATCAGTTTTTTTATTGACACAAATTAAAATTAAGGCTTAATAAACTTCGATAATACTTCATAAAAGATTTCCATCCTATACTTTGGTACAAAATTACGATTGAAGTTGTGTTTCATTTTCTGTTAGGTATAATGTTTCTATTCGGTTGCCTAATTGTAAAAGGAGGAGGGTTGTTATTCAATCTTGTCACTAAATGGCTATAATTTACATATATTACTACAAAGCTACATCTATTTAGTTATTATATAAATATATTGACCATGAAATTTCACTGTTCCTACAAAAAACAACTTCACACAAATAGTTTAATTTCAGACTACTGTATTTCAATATTAAACATATTAAACAGTACACTTACTAAAATCATAATTAATGCACAGAATCAATCATTTTAGACTACAATATAATACAACTAATTAAAATTTATATAATTAAAACAGACAATAAATCATAATTAAAATGTATTAATAAGGAACAAAAAAGAAGGAAAATGAGATAGTAAAAATAATAATACAAATAATAATAGAAAATAATAATAAATGACATACACAAAATGTGAATAATGATAAATAAAAAAAACCCGGTGGAAAACACTAATTCTTTCCAATTATTGATTGAATTGGGAAATATATTTATATACGGTAAAAAAAAACAATCATATGACTCACTCGTTTATAAGGTGATGCATCGTATGATAATAATAAACAAATAAATAAATGACTATATACTCTATGAATATACAAGTATATTTTTTTTAGAAATTTGAAGAAAATAAATGTAACCAGTATGATCGATAGGTACAAAAAATACTTGTTTATTATTTAAAATGAAAAAAGTGATTACTTCATCAGTAGAAGTAAATGGATATGATTGGTTATTGTGAAAATTCCGCTTTCTAAATTGGATAACTTCGAATGGATGGCTAGCTCATGAACAAGTAAAACACCAATATGACATTCGGAGATCGATTCTATGAGATTATGCAATCCTATTGATCAGTACGAATAGTTTATGCGTAAAATATAACGCCAAAGGGACAGATTTTTACACTTTGTTCTTGTCATTAATTAACATTTCACAAATACTGTGTTGTTTGTAATTTATAGTGATATAAGTAATCTCCTATCATGAATAGTCCTCATTCGTGATTACTGTATAATCCTATCGTTATTTTTTATTTCTACCAAACCGTGAAAAGATTATATTACGTTGATTTGAGGATATTTTTATCGTATACCCACACAGTATGATACACCGATTCAAATATACCAGATAATAATATATTTACTATCGACAAGACATAAGCAAAAGCTATCTGCGAGTATTATTCTCAGTAATAAATGTGATTTAATTAAATAATTTGATGTTTATTAATTTTGTAAGTATATTTCTGTCTAAACAATCAATCAATGGTGTCAATCGTTATTTAGCCATCAAAAGTAATAAACTAGATAATGCTTATCAAACTAACGTTAACTTTCCCATCGTTATATAAGACTACTCAGTAATATGTCTCCAGAAGCCTACAAAACATCGGACAAAGAACCTTCAAGTTTTACAGCTAACACAGTGACTTTAAACAATTGAGATGGAGTTTAGTGGTTTACGTTTTGCACACTAGTTGATTTTCAACGTAATTCAATCCTCATCTAATATCATCAACAGTGAAGCTGCTATTTCCTCCTTAACTTGATTAAACAATGCAAATGCATGATGCTTAATTCAATCAATAAACAAATAAATCATATAATTTACAAGAACAATCCAAAATAACATACATACCTCCGATATCTCAGCGAAAGTAAACCATAGACGACCAACTTCGTCAACAGAAGACTCATCAAGTGTTAAACCAGATTCCTCATTCAGTTCTCGAAGTGCAGCAGCTTTTGGGTTCGCATCACTAGATTCAACTTTACCACCAAATCCGTTCCATCGTCCTTTACCGAAACCACTCTGTTTTAAACCCAAAAGTAACCATGATTTATTGCAATCTGTGATCGGTTCCTGTACTTTAATCTAGAAGGACAATTTTTAAAATGAAAATAATTGGTTGTTTACTTTCTTGAAAAACTTTATCAAGCTCCTGTTTTATTGTTTCGTTTCAAACTACTAGGCATTAATCAACAAACATTTTAAAAAGTTTCGGTGGTGTTACTACAAATTTATGTAATCAAATAAGTATAGGTCCGAATTCGGAGATTGATTCTTGTCAATTTATACAGAAAAAAATCTTTAAACTCCAAAGCAAAATGTGGTATCAGTTCATGAAGTTACTGATTGTTGTTCTGAGCCATGTTGGTAGGTGAAGACTATCTGATTGAAGTCCACATTATTATTGAAACTCATGTTTATTTAAAGACATTGGGTGACACGGCTCAGGATTGGTTGCAATGACTCAAATGCATTATGACCAAGAAGTAACTCCATCTAGTTAGTAATTGTTTACTCAATCACAAGTGTCAATAATTTGTTTTCACAGACTACTTTTAGCAGTTTAGTACTTGCTTTCTTCTTAAACTGAAGTTAGTATTTATTCCATACCCTCCCATAAATTTTGTGGTTAGAAAAAAGGTGTACAACATTTCTTGTCAAACGGCTACACGAATGCAGATACCATATCAAACTCGTTGCACATACAGCATGCCAAAATATTTTTAAGAAACTAACATTCACCAATTAGCTAGTAAAATAACAATTAATTACCCAATCATCAGTCCTAACGATGTCACCTAACCAATGAGATAAGTATGTAAGTGTACACTTTTCCACTAACCAGTTGTAGTCCAGAATCACTCCGTTTGTTACCATGCTTAACAGTGACTGTCGATTTGTTTCCAAGAGTTCATTTGTCTCAGCTCATAAACCGAAACGCTTATTAGCAAGTGTAATTTGGTCCACAAAACGAACACTACATGTACAATTATTTAGGTTGCGAAACTTATTTTGCTTATAAGATGAATAGAATTCAGTCAACCTTATTTGGTTGAAAAATCAATTAAGGCTTCCGCTCTCTCTCAACTTTGTCAATTCCATTGGAAGATGATGATTAGCTCCCCCAGCCACAAAAAATACTGCAGCATTTATTACATTCGACCGTTGTCCAAATGCTTTGAAATCTTCAAATGGCCACGAAACAATTTCTAGAAAGAATAATATCTAACGAGTGAGAATTAACGTAAACCGCCATTTCATGCATACGATGAAACATCTCCCAACGATTTTAATACCAAGTCCAATGTTTAACTAAAATGATATCAAATTATCTCACATATGCTTCCAGTTGATGTTGGAGGTCACAAGTGGTCCGCAGATAGTAGTTTGACAACTTTTGATTTAGGTCTACCTATGGTGATCCCCCAATCAAATCTGACAACACAAAACCAATACTATGTAATTCAATATACTCAATTGTTAATGTATACATAGAGAGAAAAACCCGAGTAAAAAAGGCATTGTGGGACATTTATTATTCATGGAGTAGAATGCACAATTGAGTAGTAATTTACTTGACAGTTTGAAGAAAGGTTATTTTCAGCTAGGACTTGAATGCATCAGAGATAAAAAAAGGTTTAAAAAGGAGACAGAATAAAATAGTTTGATCTTTCATTGATGGGGAGTCTGTGAATTAATTCATTTATTCACAAATGTGACATATCTATCAAAATATCTCCTTCATATCTATTATTTCATTTACTTTGGTACAGCATGGTCGAAAAAATATTCTGCATCAAATACCATAACATTATCAGAGATGAAAGTAATAAATACTATGAGGACAGCAGAATAACCCAGAAAAAAAAATAAAAATTTCAGACAGTTTTTCGCCTGTTTATACGTAAAATTCATCAGAGAAAGGAAAATGACATTCTGTATTTGAAATATATATGCACAAAAACAAGAGAATATAACATGAAATTTCAATGAAAGTGACAATTTATTTTTCCAATCAGTAAAAAAGGATTTTTAAGTCAGGTAACTGAAATAACCGATCAGTATATAATTGGACAAATTAGATTAACTGCCTTTATATGTCAACTTCATATTTATTATTATTAATACAAATGTTATTATTGTTATTATACACATCATCAGATAGATAAAACAAAGTAAACAGAATACATGAAATAACGAAAAATAAGTGTTATTTAAAATAAAACTATAAATTATAAGGAGATATCAACAAACTATTAAGTCACTCGGTTAAATTAGTAACGCTGAGACTAGTTGTGGTTTGTTTCGAAATAAATACTGCAGTTTCAGGGAGAAGTATCAGTCTCAAACTCAACCGGTCTGGGGGTTTCGGGATGGATATCCATCAACATTGTAGGATGATGGGTATGCTAAACCAGAGCTTGAAACAAAGTAAAAATTTACATGAATAACTTTCGACTTATTAATACCAGGCTCGTCGTAGAACCTGAGTATCACGTTATTAATTGATAAATATATAGCATTGCGTATATCATGTAATGTCGAACTACAAGGAAAAAACGCCATCACTGCTTCCAATCCTTAATATAAACCTACTTTTATATTAATCAAGTGCCTGGAATTCACTTATTTAAACAATCCGTTTTTTTTCTGATACTCATAAACCAATTTTAACATTTTAATACCCCAAAGAACTCAAGGACGACGATGTCACTGATCAAGCCAGTAGCTTATATAAGTGGAGATTTTAGGCAGATGTACTAAAGTAAACGGGTGAGTAGAACACTTTGAGGAATTCGTGAATAGCCAGCTCCATTAAATCCACCGGACATCGAAGCAACACCTGCAGACCTTCTTATAGCTTTCACTCTACCAACGATCGAAAAACTCAGCATGGCCATCAGACAAACGAAGAGTGAGAAAGCAGCAGGATCTAACAACATACCACCTGAAGCACTGAAGTCAAACATAGAAGTAATTGCAAACGTACTTCACGTTCTATTCAGGAAGATTTGGGAGGAAGAACAAGTGCCGATAGACTGGAGAGAAGGATATCGCATTAAGATACTAAAGAAAGGCGATTCGAACAAGTGTGAGAACTGTAGAGGCATCACACTGCTGTCAATGTCAGGGAAATGTTCGAGTGTTGTTGAACCGGATGAAAGTAGCAGTATATGCCCAGCTGCCAGATCACCAGGCCGGATTCTATAAGGATCGGCCGTGTACAGATCGAATCGCGACAGTACGTATCATCATTGAACAATAAATTGAATGGAACTTATCACCATACATCAGCTTCCTTGACTATGGGAAGGCATTTGACAGCGTGGATAGGAAAACCTTTTTTGACACTATAGTGTACCTGAGTAAAAAGTCAAAATCATACGGAATTCATACGACGGATTAAAATGCAAAGTGGTGAACAGAGGACAGCTAACAGACGCATTTCAAGTGAGGACTGAGGTCAAACAAGGCTGTCTACTCTCCCCCTTTCTTTCTTCCGGTGGTCGACTGGATTATGAAGACCTCCAAATCTGAGGAGAGCATGGAATACAATGGACAGGTTGGATGCAACTAGACGATTTGGAATTCGTAGATGACCTGGCTCTTCTATCCCATACACAAGAGCAAATGCAGATCAAAACAACCAGTGTAGTAGCAGTCTCTACATCAGTAGGCCTCAACATTCACAAGGGAAAAAGCAAGATCCTGAAATACAGCAGAGATCACTAATTCAATCACACTTGATGGAGAAGCTCTGGAAGATGTGAAAACCTTCACGTACATAAGCAGCATCATTGATGAACAAGGAGGACCAGATGCAGACGTAAAGACGAGGATTGGCAAAGCTAGGGTAGCATTCCTCCAATTGAAGAACATATGGAACTCAAAACAACTGTCAACCAATATCAAAGTCAGAATCTTCAATACGAATGTCAAGACGGTTCTGCTATACGAAGCTGAAACTTGGAGAACTACTACAATCATCACCAAGAATGTATAATTATTTCTAAACAGTTGTCTACGTAAGATACTCAATGTCCGTTGGTCGGATACCATCAACAACACCCTACCGTGAGAGAGGTCAAACCAACTTCCAGCTCAAGAGGAAATTAGGAAAAGACGTTGGAAGTGGATAGGACATGTACTGCGGAAATAACCGAACTACGTCATGAGGCAAGCGCTAACCTGGAATCCTGAAGGGAAAAGGAAAAGAGGACGAATACAGAAAACACTGCGTCGGGAATCGGAAACAGACATGAAAGGGGTGAATAGCAACTGGAAAGGATTGTCCACGACAGAGTTGGGCGGCGTATGCTCCTCCACGAGGAGTAACAGGCGTAAGCAATTTAGTAAGATCACATGATAATAACAATCCACGGGGAACTACAATTCATAATTTCTTAAGATATGTTCTAAAACAGATTCGTAGAAAATAAACCGCACAATTTTTTCATTAACCGATTGACTACTAAAAAGAAGCGAGTAGGTAGTATATAAATATATATATATGTCCGGCGGATTTAGTGGAACTAGCTATTCATGAGTTTTTCCAAGTTTTCTGCCCATATTTTCCTTTGTTCATGTATCTCGGTAACTGGCTTACCTTCTTTTTCCTCGACCGGTCTCTGGTTTACTATACTACCGTGCCAGTTTCTTTGTTGTGTCATGTAACTGTTCCATATTTCTTTATCTTGCAGCGTTTTCCACTGTCATTGTCAGGTCTTCCGCGTATTTCTGCTTGTCGGCTTTAATGCTCTTCTTCATTTGCTTGTTTGCTTTTGAGTATTCAGCTTGTGTTGTGACTTTCTCTGTTCTTATTCGGCTGTCGTTAACTGCTATCCTCTTATTGTTCCTTTCTTGAATCTTGTTTACGGGTTTTGATAGAGATCGATTGTTCAGTTTCAAACTTCCTCAATTAATATCTTTATTCATACCTAACTAGCTGCAATAATTAAAGGACTATGTAATTTTGCTTTGGTTTTGATTTTATATCCGTTAACTTACAAATCGATCATCATATTTAATGAAAATATTCAAATACATAGTCAGGTTGGTCCACCATAATTTGTTTGGCATTGATTTCATTCTCAATTGTAAAACAAATCTTGTTTCAGGACCAACGAGGAACTGATTACGGGTAAATACTTTTTCGCTAAACTTATCTGGGATCATATGATTCAAATTAACACTAGACGGACTGAATAATGTACGGTGTGCATGACCCACATTCATTTGGAATGATTACAAGTTGATTTAGATAGAGGTTTGTGTGATACACTTCACGACATTAACCAGTTTATATTACACTTCATAGACATAGATTGTGTTATTTTTAAGCACAACAAGGATTATTATTATTACGATGACTTGAATGTTATACAAGTTATAGTCCATTTGCAATACTACACAGTAAGTTATGAGAAGATCAACTAACTGATAAAATAAATGTTAAAATGTACCAACTAATGAACAGTAATATGTCAGTTGCACACCTGGTTATTATTGCAACCAATGATTCATATCAATAATTGTAGAAACTGATAAAAATATTCTTTTCTTATCTGTCATTATATTTATTTATTTATTTGAACACATAAATATTGGTACAAAGTGGCACCGAATACATATACATCACATGATCTTTGTGTAGGCTGTGATATTGCGTGAGTGCCCAGACCGAAAGAGGTGGTTTTCTCAGGGGGCCACATTCAGAGAATTGAACTTAAAATTTCGATCCATAAGACAGTGGAGCAAGATCAGGAGATGCAAACCCACGGTAGCCAGTGACCAACAATTAGTTCATACCCCATTTGTTCCCTCAGGATCATGAAGCCCATGTGCATCATTAGTTTGGGATCAAGGTTTTCCAAATCCCTTAAGTGGATCCTCCATATCCACCAACACGGTTAAAGCTTCGGACACTCACTGTTTGTCCTCTCAATTTCATAAACAACACTCGTGCTGCAAGACGGCAGTGAGTAGGACTTTCTTGGCAGTGGCCGTGTGAGAGCGTTTCGAGAGGGAGAACTGACTCTCCCCACCCTCGGCCGTACACGGCATTTAGGGGTTTTTCCATTTGTACCGTGTTACATGTACATAGTATCAAATATTTAACCAATAGTATTTTGTTTAATGCTGATAAGAGGATGCAACATTGAAGGGAGATAAATTTCACATCCATTAAAAAAGAAATGCATATACTGCAAAAAACATTGTTAAAAACATCGAGAATCCCCTGTTTATCCATCCATGGACATCGTTTTAAAGTTTAGCAACGCAATATCATAATTTATATCGACGAGTATTAAATACAAGGTACAGTAATCTGATCGAGAAAACCCGAAAATTTCAGAATGCCGTAAATAATAACGATGTTGTAAAATTACAAAAATTCAGATTCATTCGTCACAAAAAGTACGTCGATGGAGAGCTAACCTCTCAACCAGAAATGTAATGGTTAGTCGGTATTGCAAATTTAGCTAAACCATGAAGTGAAACGGTCAGATATGTGAACAATAACAAAATGTAATCAATCTCATCAAAACATTGATTTAGCAACATGATGATGAATTACATCTATAGGTCTTGTCTATATGTTTTGTCTACTTGTAGAGAAATATATAATTTATGTTATGCAAAAACTGTACTTGAAGAAGTTGGCAATAAGTTAGATTAAAATAATAAATAACACCTGAGTTCTCGATACCCAATTTATTTCTCGTAAATGACCATCGTCTACCGTTAAATAAAAATTAACAGAACGGATAATTTGTTTAGTACACTTGCTAACCAGTGCTCACAAATGCTCAGTTATCATCGCTGTCAATCAATAATCAGGCCATACGTAAACATGTATTTAAAGGTGAGAATTGACTAATCCTGCTTCGGTCTGGGCACCCGGGCAGTATCACAGCCCTCACACATATCCAATGAGATCTATGTGGCGCATATGTATTCGGTGCCTCCTTGTACCGATATTTATGTGTTAAAATAATAAAATCTGAGACAACTGTAGTTTTATCCCACTGACTACAAAACCACTTCTCAACGAAAACAAGAATCATAAACAGCTTTAAAATGTACAATTTTATTAGGACGCATTTAGCAATAATTATCATTAGAACAACCCATCTTCGACTTGCCAAACAAACATTTAAATAACAATCGTCTTCCAGGCGAGACTTAAATACAATAACCAACTACCCAAACGACATATTCAAGGCGAAAATTAGGAGCGATGAACTAATTGTTTCGAAAGAAAAATTGAGAAAAAGACGAATAAAGCAAAGAAATATTGTATCTGAACGATAAGGCTAAAATGTTTTAAATGCGCGGGAATGTATGGAATGTTCTTAATTTTGATTTACACTACAAGAACTGTATACTTAGAGGTTCACGCACACCTAATGACAGTACGCCAGGGATAACTGCAAACACAATGGCGGAATAAACGACCCTGTACATTTTACCATATAGGGAGTAAAATTTGAGCCACTTCAAATCATAAAACGAAACATGTTGAAAAGCAGACCAACAATAGTAAAGGTAAAGACAAGAGTAGAACCGCAAAACATCTGGATCGCTTACTTCAGACCCCGAATCGTCAATGACCAATGGAGAATCTGTGTTCAATTCACTGGGTGTATATATGACTAACATGAGCGTATATAATTTCCGGTTGACCCATTGAGGGGAGAACGGACTATGTTCGCTTTTTGAAATGGACATCTACAAATAAATGTCATGCAAAGTTGTTGCACGGAGCTAGCAAAACAATAGGGATTTAAAGCTGCTTTCTTTATGGGGAATTGTCCAAAGTAAGAAATAACAATACACATATAGACGCTATCATCCTTTATATGAAAAATGCCGTTCTGTAAATTACCGATATCTAGTTTGCTTTAAGTGATCCTTCCAGAGCTAACGTGTTTATTATCGATCCAGGTCCTATTAGTTAATTAATCTGGTAGATTTATTCATTTTACACTAGAAATAATTTTCGGTATGAAAACTGCATAGAGCAAATGCTTGACTGACAAGTTATACTAAAATATTAATAACCCACACAACTGCTGGCATTGAAGTAATCACTACATCACTAACTAATCATGTAGAAATGATAATGTGTTCTAAGTAAGGAAAATTCGTTAATCCTAGGGATGAATGTACGGGAGAAGATAAACGTAATGCCAACGCAACCAAAAAGGGCGAAACAAAGGATACCTTGAGCGACCTACTGATAAATTGTTCAAATGGTTATGGACGAAATAGAAGAATTATACGCTTAACGGGCTTCCGTGTGTAGTAGATGTGGATAACCAAACAAAGGATCAATGCATTGATAACAGAGCGACATATCGATGAATTGTCTACTTTTCGCTTAAATGTATGTTGAATCGTCGACTTTTTACATGAACACACGCCAAATTGTTTACTTTTCTTTTTAATACACACTGATTTTGCTTCAACTTTTAACACACCTTTGGTTTAACTCCAAATGTCTGTGTTCACCATTATTTAAATAACACACCACACGACAAGTGCAATCGACGTTAAAAAGTGTACGTGTTTAAAGGAACTTATTGAAAAGAAAAAACGTCATATTGTATAAGTAGTAGACAGATGCTAGGGCATCGATCATTATGCATTGTAATTGTAATTTCCAAGTCATATTGTAATTTGAGATCTACAAAAAGAAAGGACAGGACAGGACGGGAAGAAACATGGAAACTTAGTGAAAGCTTAAGAAAAATAAAAACTATAATAAAATACAAATGTTATCAACTCAAATGGAATGAAAAAGACTAAAAAGAATGTACAACTAAAGGAATCAATAGGAATAAACTGCAAGTGTATAAATGGAGGGATTTTCACACACAAAACATTCAAACTGGATCTTACAGTATGTTCATTTTAAAATATATATAAGTGAGCATATGAATATCGAATGTATGATTTCAATCTCACTTATCAGCCTGTGATTAGTTCAGATTTGTGTAATAAGATCAGAAGGCCTAAGCCATATATTATTCCTCTCCTAGTATGTTTCCGTGAACGTCTGGTCTTCTCTTGAATGAGTCATTCGAAAGTGCAGGCACCACTGTTCCAGGTAATAGGTCTCGGTGTGAAAACCTGTATGCCGTCGTCTTAAGATCATGACTCACTGTCGCCCCTAGATCCTTATTAGACCGAAACACGGGTACTGACACTTCCTTTATGTTGTAACTATTAACTTTTGTGACGCCAAAGTGTATGTGAATACACTTTGCCGCTTCGATAGGCACCAGCCACTCTTTAGATTAGTTAATCGTATCATTTAACTCTGTCTGAAGTGCGCGTGCGTCTGCGTCTCCAGTTATTACTCGCCAGACTTACATCGTCGGCGTATAATAACATTGGGGACTGTACGGTACTTGGAAGATCATTTACATGCAGTATAAAAAGTAAAGGACCTGGGACGGAACCTTGAGATGCTCCACTAAATAGTGATCTTCAGGTGGAACACATGGGATTTATTCTTACTTTCTGCCTACAACCTGCTAGGAAATCCTTAAGCCGGCAATACCAAGATTTTCTAATTTCAATAACAACCTATTTGTTGGCATCTTGTCAAGTGCCTTAGCGAAGTCTATGTAGAAAACATCCAGTGAGCGCCGTTGTCTAGCTATAAGGAGGTTTGTTGTGCAAGATCAACACTTTCTGAAACCGTGTTCACTGTTTAAGAAGTTATTGGTTACTACAAATGTCATTATGGTCTTTTTGACTATTCTTTCCAGTATTTTAACTACGACACAGGTGAGACTGACAGGTCTGTAGTTCGATGGAAGTTGTGTTGGTTCCGTTTTATGTACCGGGAGTGATAATCGCATCTTTCCAGACACGCAACCAAGAGGATATATTGCCATCTCAGGAGGATCAAACTCTATGACAACGGACTTACATTTATACTTCAAAGTGTAAAGTAATCCATGTTGCAGACTATAGATATAACTTAGGCAACTAACCTCTAGAAGGATCCCAAGTTAAAAAAGATTCAAGAGTGCTGGTACCCTACGATTTGTAGTCTTATGCTAACTGTAACGAAAATGCCTTTCGAACGAACCATGCACTGGCAACATTGAAGAGCATTTTTAGCCAGTTTGGCGGAAGAACTTCTCACATAATCTTCAACAGTTTTTTTGTGCCCACCCTTACTCCAAAAAATAAAGACGGTGAAAAGTTTCTAACGGTGAGCCACGAAATCAGTTCGGGGATTCAAATGCGAGTCATTTAAAAAGCGCCTCCAATCACTAAAACTTTACCCGTCAGAGTACGGGTGCCTTAATGGTGACCTTCTTATGACTTACAGCATCCTTAACATTTCTGGGCATTCTCTTCAAAATCTACTTAAGTTTATCCCCGACACAAATTTAAGGGGTGAAACACGAAACTGAAGACGCAACACATCAAAACGGACTGTGGGCACACCTCCTACTCCTTAAGACTTATCAAGGACTAGAATTTGCTTCCGGCCGAGCTGGTCCAAGCCACTCCTCACTAGTTCTTTGAGAGGAAATCTGACATATTATTAAGGACTAAGTATAGCATCTTTCTATGATTTACCAATTCCTTTTTCATCGTTAATATACCTAGGTTACTGCCTGAAGGTATTGGTTATCCACATCTACTACACACGGGAGCCCGTTAAACGTATACCTCTTTTATTACGTCCACAACCATTTGAACAATTTGTTAGTAGGTTGCTCAAGGTCGTGGGGAGCGTGTAGCTTTGAAATCGGTGTGGTTGTGTCGATTTTGGTATTGCTTTTGTGTATATTGTTGTCTATATCTTCCCTTGGTAAATGTAAGTACACTTCCTGTGCTTTATGTTTGGTCAACTGACCTTTTTGGTTTTTTCCAATCATGTTATTCACGTTTCTATAGTACATGAAGTACCTGCTAGCCAGACGCGAGCCGTTATGTGTATTTTATGCTCCTTCATTTTCCGTAGTTCAACTAGATTTGGGGTTGTTATAAAATTTGACTGTAGCTGGGTAAGTTTTAAGTTCGCCACAGTCTCGCAGCAATTAACTTGTTAGTGAAGCCAATAGCTAAGCTACTGAATTTTTAGTGTCATTCGGTAAATATGAAGTATACACTCAAAATTCTCGGAGATGTTGGCTGTTGCAGATTATCTTGAGACTTCGAAGTTAAACTAGTGTTGTGCTTTGTCAGGGATTAAGATTGTACATGATTCTAGGATTCTGCAGTATGGTTTATCTCATTTCGTTATGGAAAAACTTAACTTCAACACATATTCACGATCCTTTCCTAGTATTTGTATCGTCATTTCTTATGTCACATTAGTTCTGCTGAATACCTAAGTTTACTTGACAATATATGAAATAGTCAACATAATACTGATGAAATTACACTAGTTTTGGGTTGGTTATTAAACCTATGAACTGAAAGAAATCTATAGCCCAGTGATCACTAACGTCTAGTAAATACTGCTTTGAGTTGTACCGTTTGGGTTAACTTGGAAATGGGGGACAGGACAGATCAAATTAAAAGGATCTGATTTTAGATCTAAAATCGGTGAAACTCTATTTTATGGACGACCGTTGAACGTACGTTTAAGTGACCTTGAGAACATTAGCCAATCAGAAGAGAGTTGGTATAAAGTAAAAATATATTATGAAAAACTGATGAATTACAATGGATATTCTTCTTTCACATGATTTAGGAACTTGTTAAGGTTGGATAAAGGTTCAGAAGTTCTGAAATCATAATGCATGCGGTATAGGAACTCGTCCATATGGCTCCATAATAATCGTCCTCTGGAACCATGGTAGGGTCTTAAAAAATACTTCAGCCTAGACCACATGCCTTTAATATTGTTTGTATGAACCCCCATCATTGAATCGAGAAAATCACGTATATTCACGGAAGTGTTACTTACCCAATCTTCCTTGATAAAACGTCCTTTGTTGTATTTTCGCTTTCTAATTACTGTCTCATCTATTTCAACTATCTTTCCAACTCCCCCAAACGATTCATGTACTTGTGATCGCGCAAAGAAAGAGCAGATTTTTTTCTCCAACATATAGTACAACGAAATACAATATCATCACGGTAGTCTGCACATCGTGCTGCAGTCATTTGATTACCGCAGTCACAGACACAGGAACTTCTTAATAGTCCCGTCTGTTATAGTCGCTCAACAATCACCTCTTCTCTGAAATCTGCTGTAAAACGATCGAATGTGAGCATCTCGAATCGAACTTAGCGCCGTGACCTTGAACATCCTCAAACGCCTCTGATTGACTCGTCCATAAATTAGAGTCCTACCGCATTCTAGAGATTTCTAGGTTACGGGGCCAACTTCAAGGCTTAATGATAACGTACGATCGGTTTACAGGGAATTTTGTACAAAACGTGATAATTGAGCAGCTATAACAAATAAAACGGCAAGTCTATAATTCGTGAACGAACCAACTAGGTATACAATAAGAGATCTCGGGTTTTGGTGCGAAAGTCTTTCATCCATTTGGCTGAATAGATTTCTGGCATTATAGCTGATGTCAGTTCGTGATGAAAATCCCATCTATAATTCCTAACTAAAGCAAATTATGACAATTATCGCGAGCTGGCTAATAAAAGCACCATTAACACTACTACAATATATACGGATGTTTGGAGAGCGTACAGACTCATACATAGGTTTGGTTATGCGCATGTTGTCGTTATCCACAAGTAGCATTTTGTGTGCTCAACAACCGGAGTGCACATGAACAATATTGAAGCTATGTGGTCGAGGCTGAAAGGGTTTTTGGGACTTTATCATAGCTCCAGAGGCCGACTATTCTGTAGCCATATGGATGATTTCCTTTACTGTATGAAATACGATTTTAGAACCTATGAACCTCTTTCCAACCTTGACAAGTTTTTGAATCACGTAAAAGAAGTGTATCCAATTTATTTCTTTGGTTTTTTATATATTTTTACTCTATACTTACTGTTTGCTGATTGGTTAATATTTCTCAAGGTCACTTAAGATTCGTCCAAAGGTCGTCCATAAATTAGAGTCTCGCCTAAGATTCTTATTCATCTTTTTTTATCGAAGTATATCTTCCGTATGTAGTACATATTTTCATTTCGTTAATTTCCGTTTTCGGTGTTGATGTGAGCGTAGCGTTTTAGATTTTTGCTATGCCTGACGTTGACTGAATGCGGGTGTAAAAAATATTTCGTCATACAAATTTTGTATCTTATCTGGTGTTTGCTAAAATTATTTCATTTTGTCTCTCTAAAGTAAGGAATTAATCCCTGAGTTACGCAATCTGATTTTTATGACATTTCCTTTTCAAATTAGGTACTTAACATTTTAGGCTATGCCGTATCTAATGGATGAGGAAGTTTCTAGCGATGAATCTGTAAGTTTCTAAACCGTGTGTAACTATTTTAGGTCGAATGTGAAGATGTGGAGATTGAGTATGTTTGATTAATATTAATGACAATGGATAATCACTAGTTACAAAAATTTGTCCAAAAGTACAACAGGACCACCAAGTTGTCCATCTCTAGCTCAGAAAGATTCAGCTAAGTATGATACTATTTTACTGTTATAGTGTTACAATTTCAGAAAACCGAAAAATCCAAGTGATTTACATATGAGTAAAGGAAAGGTGTTGAATTATCTCCGGATACCGAAAGCTGTTGATTTCATGTCTCCAGATCTAACTGAATATGTTACAGAAACCCAAAGGGCAGGCCTAATTGCACAACTTAAAGCTAATAAAGACTAGTCTTACGAAATTTCTTAATTTTTTTCACAACACATGCTTAGCCTGAACAATAAATGTCTTAAAGAATATGCTTAAAAAATGGTACACGTTAAATATAAGAATGTTTGCCTTGCCGCGTGTTAACTGAACACATCAAAATTCTGTAGATCTGTCAAACCATGTTTCTATATGTTCATGGGTATTCGATTAGATGATTCAGTATTAAACAATGATATTTCCTGTTTTTTCACCACCTATGCGAAATATAAATTTTTGGATTTCTAGTTCTCGGCTGGGTCATTTTGGCACAAAAGTTTTCGTTAGGATTGGGAAGCTGGTTTCGCCATGCGTTCGGTTTTTGTTGTCAAAATACAAGATATCAGGATATACATTTTGCCAATTTATACCATATGGCCATTGCCTTTCCCTGTCATTTATATTGTAATTGAATTATAAATAGCTGCATAATACCGAACTCTTGAGACAATTTACGATTCAGAGACTTTGATGTATGTAAGATATTCGTAGATTTTTATCACATGGCAAACAACTGAATAATCTCTTTACATCTGTTTGTATATATCCATTCACGATATAATGATGTTTCGTACAATAAGTCTCCGGTAAATGTCATACCGATTAGGTTAATGACATTATTTTGAAGTAACCAAAAACATTTGGTGATCATTAGAAGACATGAGGTTGAACGGTATGAAAGGTAGCCTATGCGCAGTGTGTTTCCAATTAAAAATGCAAACTTTGGCAGATGGTAAGGTTCAAGGGTTTATTGGGATCAAGGTCTTGAACTTAGCTAAATCTTATATCCCTTTTATGGAATTCAGTTCATTCCCAGTTTTTTACAGCGAAATTTGTACCATACTTGTCGAAAGCAAGTTTAGGAATTATCCTCTTTTGGCACGAACCTGGTAGTTAATTACACCCGGGCAGTATCACAACCCTCATTCAAATCAATGATAACTACGACCTGAAAATTCCTCTTACCCCTAAATGCGCCCCCAAATGCCCTGGTATGGTCGAGAGTGGGGTAGGTTCGCCCTCCCTCTCGAAATACTCTTACACGGCCACGCGTATACAGCCTCTGCCAGGGAAGTCCTACTCACTGCCTTCTCGTGGTGGGGGTGTTGTTTACGAAAATGAGAGGACGAAAAGCGAATGTCCGGCGCTATAACCGGATCCCAAATCAATGGTGCACGTGGGCTCCAGTATCCTGCGGGAACAAACTGCGTATGAACCAATTTTTGGTCACCGGCTTCTATGGGACTGCATCTCCTCACGATGCTCCACTGCCTTGTGGACTAGACCTTTAGGTCAAAGGCTCGGGGCGTGGCCCCCTAAGAAAACCACCTACTTCGGTCTGGGCACCCGCGCAGTATCTCAGCTCACGCACTAAAACATGATGAACTATTCACTTATGGAAAATATTCCTTTCGCTCCGATTTGCCAGGTTAATTATGTTTTTCATTATATGTGCTTTTACATTGTATAAGTAGTGGTAGGTCATATGATGTAGTAGGTGTAAAACTCTGCACTAAAACATCATTTCCATTTGTTTAGATTCAGATCTTCAGGCTTAAGTGAATCAAAAGCAATTGGTCCTCAAGCAACTAAACTAACTGTCTGAAATTCATAGATTCGTGTCGATATCATGACAAATAGGGTCGGTATTATATATCCAGAAAATTGGTCAACCATTGTGAACATACAGCAGGTTTTAAGACGACTAAACTGATATTGACTTGTGGAATATGATTAAATTTTAGATTCGCGAGTTAGCAAAACTGATGTAGCCCTATTTTGTGTCGCAATCGATGACTTTGAGCACATCTACTGACAATTTTAATTTTGATCTTGTTAGTGTCGTCATACGTAATCTTCATGGTTCCAGGCTGTTTGTTTGTTTGCAACGCTCGAGATTCAGTGAAGCACTCAGTTGTTTGAAGCACGTAGGTGGATGAAAGTACATGGTGCTAACCAAAAGTTTCTAGTTTCAACAGTTACTGAATGGCCTGACCGTTGTTGCTACCTTGACGTGGTGGTCGGGCTTGCCTATCGTGATGAAGCAACTGAGCTATACTGGCTAGAACAACCGTTCCTCAAGGTCCTACCATGCCAGACAGGTCGGTTGAAGAGCGGTAAGACTAAAAGCAACAAAACCAAGGTCCGAAGGCGAAGTCGTACTGCTGACTGTACAGAGGTGTGACAGCAGTAAGGTGTTTCCTTCAGACAACCAGCATGACAGCGATGCTGCCTTCCCACAAGGAGGGGTGGGGTTAGAAAAGGTCGACCCTAAAAATGCACACCTCGCCTTATCCTACGGATATCCGTCTCCGGTGGTAAGGTCTCAACAAGTGCGGGGCTAACACAAAAATTATTCATAAAAAGGTCATGTGTGACCGACCTTAAGCAGTTGTCCCTTGGGCACTGCGGTCACGCTCTCAGGTCACTATGACCACCTTTAATCCAATTTCCTTTTCAGGTACCTCCAGAAGAACCCTTCCACGGTGTGGGCAACCGGGAAGTGATAACCGCCCTCATACCTCTAACAGCACTCAAGACCACTGTATTCGTAATCAAGTTCCTTCTTCAATTCCTATTATTCCTCCTACATCGACTTTATACACTAAACTTCCTCTTTTAGCTTCCTCCTCAAGTGTCACCACAGCCAACGATTCTAGTGCTCAAAACACTGTCCCAGGTCTACTGAAACCTCGCTCCAAACTATACATTGGAGCCTTCAACGTACGCACACTATGTCAAATTGGCCAGCAGGCTTCCTTGGCTGAGACCTTAGAATCTCGTACCATTGATGTATGCTGTGTCTCCGAAACACGCATACAGGATCCTAGTGTGGTCATTCACTTGACCTCACCTCGGCAAAACGGAAAGCCAACGAGATACACACTCCGTGTATCTGGCGACCCGATGGCTAGTTCTCGTGGACTGACAGGTGTAGGCATAGCACTAAGCATGAGGGCGGAACAAGCGCTATTAGAATGGATCAACTTAAACAGTCTTCTATGCGCTGTTCGGCTAAACGGCTCCATAAGAACTCGGAAGGATAGGGACACACGTCGTTGCCTTTCCGTCGTTTCTGCCTACGCTCCCACTGACTGCAGTGCGGATGAAGTGAAAGATGAATTTTACAGAAAGCTGTCTGGACTTCTTCCGAAAGCTAAACATTCAGACATAGTACTCGTAGGAGGTGACTTTAATGCCCAGGTAGGTAGCTTAAACCAAACAGAAAGACATTTAGGTGGGTATTTTAGTATTCCGGCACAGCGAACAGATAATGGTGATCGTCTGCTGCAACTGTGTTCAGACAATCGTTTATTTTTAGCAAACACAAATTTTAAGCATAAGGAGAGACATCGTCTAACATGGCGACCCCCTGCACCAAACCAACGATGGACTCAAATAGACCATATTGCCATCAGTCATCGTTGGAGAGGGTCGATAGAAGATTGTCGCTCATTCTGGAGTACCTGTTTGGACTCTGACCATGCCCTAATATGAGCACACATCTGCTTGCGCCTCACTGGACGCAAAAGAGCCACACAAAAACGACTCATTAGAACCGAATTGAGTAATGAGAAAACCAAAGTAGGTTCCAGGAACAACTGAGGTCACACTTAGGTAGTTCTGAAAACGAGACTGACCCAGATGTTGCTTGGAAAGTTATACAAGCAGCTGTGGAAACAGCAGTGACATCTACCAGTGATTTAAACCAAATGGTTACAAAAAACCAATGGATTTCTTCAAGGTCTATTGCACTGATAGATTCTCGCAAACTCATCCCATCAGGTTTTGAATGCGATGAAGAGCGTAAAGAAATCAAATCTAGATTAAGCAAAAGTTTAAGGAATGATCGTGAGCAGTGGTGGGAAACGAAAGCAAAAGAGATGGAAAAGGCGGCGGCTATATGTAACACCAGACAGCTCTTCAGACTCATAAAAGAAACTGGAATTAATAAATCAAGTGTAAGTCAGACTATTTCGGAAAAAAACGACACTTATCTGCTCCCAGTCCAGACGCTTAGAACGATGGGCGGAACATTTTAGAGAACAGTTCAGCTGGCCTTCAGCTACTCTACAACTACCCTCTATTCCCAGACAGTGTGAATGGAACATTGAAGTAGGTCCCCCAACTCTAGCTGAAGTTCAAAAGGCTATAGCTAATCTGAAACGAGGAAGGGCAGCTGGTCCAGATGGATTGGCCCCAGAGGTCTTTAAGAATGGTGGTCCAATTTCAGCGACTAGGTTGACTAATATTTTAGTTAAAATCTAGGAGTTGGACATCATCCCCTCTGACTGGTCACAACCACTTAACGTCCCAATATATAAGAAAGGGTCAAAATCATCCTGTGACAACCATTGAGGGATTAGTTTGATTAACATAGCATCTAAAATACTAGCCTCGATAATTTTCGGACGCCGAACTAAGACTCGTGAACTGCAAACACGAGAGAATTAAGCTGGCTTCAGACACGGTCGTGGATGCATCGACCACATATTCACCATTCGTCAGGTTCCAGAACACAGGCATACTTATCGGCGTCCGACAATGGTGGCCTTCCTTGACTCTGTTGACCGAGAGGTTCTGTGGCAGTGTCTGTCATTGAAAGGCGTACCTCAGAAGTACATAAACATTGTGAAGGCTCTTTACTCGAACACTACTAGTTGAGTCAGAGCTTATGGCGAACTGTCATCTGCTTTTGCAAACTCAAATGGTGTACGTCATGGCTGTCCACTTTTTCCATTTTCGTTTAACTTCATCAAAGATCTACTGATGGAAATAACGCTCTCTTCGACTGAATTCTCGGGCATTGATCTCCTACCAGGAGGTCCACTTATTGACTTAGAATACGCAGATGACATAGTCCTGTTTGGTAAAGACGCTGATGAAATGCAGAGTCTTTTGGTAGCACTGAGCAACAATGCTAGAATGTTTGGGATGCGCTTTTCTCCCTCTAAATGCAAGTTGTTGCTTCAGGACTGGTCTGAATCAACACCTGAACTAAGGATAGGGAGTGAAGTAATCGAACGCGTTGACAACTTCACTTATCTTGGAAGTCTGATCAGCCCTAATGGGTTGGTGTCTGACGAAATCTCAGCACGGATTCGAAAAGCTCGCTTGGCCTTTGCCAACTTACGTCATCTATGGCGAAGGCGAGATATCCGTCTATCAATTAAGGGACGAGTATACTGCGCGGCAGTTCGTTCCGTCCTTCTATACGGCTGCGAAACATGGCCTTTAAGAGTGGAAGATATTCGTAAGTTACTAGTATTTGACCACAGGTGCCTTAGAAATATTGCGGGTATCTGCTGGGATCACCGGGTAAGTAATAGTGAGGTTAGACGCATTGT